CCTGTTGAGGTCCCTCCCCTCCCCAAACCCTGCTCTCCTCCCTCCAATTCTCCAGGTATTTCCCCACCTAGAGATGGCAACCTAGAGCTGCCCGGTCCTCTTCACTCGCTGACGGGGGTGGGAAGGAGCTCTCAGGGAGTGTGGGGGAACGAGGTGACATTGCCGCACGGACGTCCCTGGCGTGATGACATCATCACGTGTAAGTAATGTCATCACGCTGGGGATGTTGCGCTGCGACACTCTTTTATTTTGGGCAAAACTCTATAGTTACCATAGAATTTTGCCCAGAATACCAGAGCGACGACATCACTTCCGTGTGATGTCATCACGCTGGGGACGTTGCACCGGGTGGTGGCTGTTGGGGGCGGGGCTTCCCCCGCCTGCCGAATCAGGGGATCCCCCGATCCCACAGTGGGGAGTTAGCGACCCTGTCTGTCCGATTTCCTGATCGCAGACTCTTTAGGTTTAGCGGGATGTGGGGGAACCAGCAGGTCTCGTCTACGGTGGAAAAAATTCTCATCCAACTGATCTTCTCCAGGTCTTTCTCACTCTCCTTGTTGGTTTTGCTTAACTTCCTGCAACAGGCTTTCTCTTTCTGCCTCTATCGCTTGGGAATCGGCCTGCTGATGCACTTTTTAAAGTCTGCCTTGGGGTTATTCCAGTTCCCTTCCTTTTTTTGGCTTTCAACCCCCACTCCCAGACAGGCAGTTGCCAAGAACGCTCCCTCTGTTAAACAAACACTGCTCTTCTCTTAAATAAACTTGGGAAGAAACTAGTGACTCAGAGCGGAGAATGTTACCAACTCTCCAAAGGGGTGGTTTTTGGGTAGTCTGATCTGGGAAATGAAATATCTCTTGTTCAAACAGGGGAAAAAAATCCAGTTGCTTGAAGCAAAATTGCTCAGGTCTTGTTTCTCCCGCTGAGAGCGATGGGAGTGGAATTAAACTGACATGCGCACTCTCTCTCTCTCTCTCTCTCTCTCTCTCTCTCTCTCTCTCTCTCTCTCTCTCTCCCCCCCCCCCCCTCCTTCATCCTCAGCATTCCTGGGCAAGAAGCCTGAAGAACTAAAGCCACCTTCCCTCTGGAGAGGAGAATCCCACTTCCTTAATCATACTAATGGCTTTGTGCACACATTATATAATCTGCCGCTAGATGGTTTCCATCTCTTCGGATGCTTTAATCAGCAGTAAGCCTCGGTTGTCTTGTCTCTGCCTGCAAGGGGATCGCCTGCAGTGAGCTGGGCTTCCTTCCCTCTCCGTAGCTTGACGCTCCTTGAAATCAGTTCCAACTTGGAGGCACACTCTTCTATATGGGCAGTCTTTTGTGTGTGCAAAGGGCCCTCGATTTTAAATAGTCCTCCGTCCTTACTGTGGGCTTGAAGCTTGATCCGAAAGTGCTGACCTCTAGAACACACTTCTTGCTCAGATTGTGGGAAAGGAACTCCCAAGTCTCAATTTCGAATGACTGGGTTGCGTTGCAGAAATAAAAGGGTGAGGCAGAGAGCCAGTGACTTGCCCAAGGTGAGATCCCTGCCAGGTTTCATAGCTCTACCTTTTGTCATGACGGATACTGCAATCAAATGAGGGTGGCCCTTCAAGTGGTTTCAAGTCAAAAGATGAGCAGTGGTGGTCTGCCAGTGCCTGTCCCTGCATAGCGACCCTGGATTTCCTTGGTGGTCTCCCATCCAAGCACTAACCAGGGCTGGCCCTGCTTCGCTTCCAAGAATGAGCTAGCCTGGGCCGTCCGGGTCGGGGCAACAGATCTTCAGAGGTGGTTTGCCCCTCTGCCTGCCTCTGCGTAGGAACCCTAGACTTCCCTGTGGGTCTCCCATCCAAACACTAACCAGGGCCGGCCCTGCTTGGCTTCCAGGTGCCAATGAGATCAGGCTAGCCTGGGCCATCCAGGTCGGGGCAACAGATCTTCAGAGGTGGCTAGCCCCTCTGCCTGCCTCTGCTTAGCAACCCTAGACTTGCCTGGTGGTCTCCCATCCAAATACTAACCAGGTTATCAAGACCTTTTGTATTTTTGAAACTCCTTTCAGTTCCCTACATGCCGTTAAATGTGTCTTGACTCTTGGTCATTTTGATGTTGACTCTGAATACCTTTACCACTTTATGCAATGGTTTTATTTCTGTTTTGAATAGAAAATGATAATAAAGCATTAAAAAAAAACCCAAAACAAATACTAACCTGGTCTGGCCCTGCTTCGCTTCCGAGATCAGACTATTTATGCTGCTACCCAAACAATCCTTGGCACTTAATATCTGAGGTGCGTGTTGTCCACGGTCTTCTTGTCATCCTTACAGCAGATGGGGAGTATGGCATAATGGTTAGAGCACTAACAGGAGCTGGGATACCCTTGTTAAAAATATATATATATTTATTTAGAAGACTTCTATGCTTCCTTTCCACCCAGATAGGGTCCCCAGGGCTGCGAAGTTCAAACATATCAACATTAAAAAAGTTTAAAGAGAAGGACGTATACAGTAATTCAGTCTGTCCTTGGCCACGAGGAGCTCACCGGGTGATCTCAGGCCAGTCACACGCTCAGGCTGAACTATCTCAGAGGGACCTTGAAGCAGGGAAGAGAACGATGGTAGCCATTTTGGGTCTGGTGTGAGAAGAAAGGTGGTGGTGGGAGGGAAAGGCTCGCTTAGGATAACCAGATGAGATTTGAACGGAGGAAATCTCATTCCACAGGTAGGGTTGCCAACCTCTAGGTGGTTAACTTGTAAGGAGAAAGAACCGTGATATAATAATGGAACCTTGTTAGGGGAAAATATGTCTTCTTTAATTTTCTTTGAAGTGATTTGTCTCGAGTTTTTCTTAAATTTTAGAGGGCAGCACGTAGCTGTTTTTCACATAACAAAACGATGTAAGTTAGAAAGGAAGGTGTCAGGTCTCATCTGATGAAGCCTTGAGTGAAACGGTCTGTGGAGTGCTGTACCGTCGAGAAAAACTTGAGACCAATTTAAGAAAAACTTGAGACCAATTTACTTCAAAGAAAATTAAAGAAGATATATTTTTCCCTAACAAGGTTTCATTATTAGCATCTTAGTACTTTCTCTGTGTGTGTTTCATTATTATATCACAGCTGTTTTTCCTTACAAGTTCAGCCTGTCCCGTGATCTCTCAACCTCTAGGGGGTGGCTGAAGATCTCTCGGAATTAACGCCTGGTCTCCAGCCGGCGGCGGTCCGTTCCCCTGGAGAAAATGGCCACTTGGGAAGTTGGTCTCCGTGGCATTCTGCCCTGCTGAGGCCCCTCCCCTCCCCAAGCCCTGCCGCCCTCAGGCTCCGCCTCCCAAATCTCCAGGAGTTTCCCAACCCGGAGCCAGTAACCCCAACCACAAGTCTTAGCCAGGCTGTGCCTCGGCTCCCTTCCTGACTTCCGCAAACGGCATTTTAAAGCGTGATTTTGATATACCGGTTCCTCGCTCCATAGCTCCCAGTTTCACACTGGGCTCCCCACTGTCAGCTACGGAAGAACAAACTCCTTTCTTGCAACCGGTCACAGAGAGAAATCTTGTCGATTCTCAGCTAGAACAGGGCGAGTGTGCACACAGGCATTCTGACTGCTTGGACACCTTCTTTAAAGATGTGTTTGAAATAAAATGTAATGGTGGGGGGAGAGATGTTTGGGGTTTTTTTTGGGGGGGGACGACATTTGAAATCAAGGCATGTCAAGGTCAGCCTTCCTGTGTCCATATCACTCCATTGCCTGAGGCACTTCTGCCCAGCACACGAATGGGCAAGGCTGGCGATGGGGTGACATAGTTGGATATGCGGTGGGGTCCCTAGGTGACCAGGTGGTAATCGAAAAGAGCAAGAGTCCAGGAGCACCTTAAAGACTAACAAAATCTGTGGCAGGGTATGAGCTTGCGTGAGTCACTGCTCACTTCTTCAGTTACAGCTAGAATGGGAGTCCATCTGTCCTTATATCTTGGACAGTGGAATGATTTCAGATGCCAGATTACAATAGCAGGCGAATGACAATTGCCAGTGAATGACAATGGCAGGCATGATTGGATTAGGTGTTATATGCAGAAGGGTAGCAGGTGTGGAGAAATTAGCCTTGGTAATGAGACAGAAAACCTAGGTCTCGATTCAGTCTTGAGCTTAAGTTATCAGTTGCAATTCAGCAGTCTCTCTTTCCAGTCTCCCTTTGAAATTCCTTTGTAAGACAACTGCTACTCTTAGGTCAGCAACTGAGTGTCCCCGGAAGATTAAAATGTTCCCCCACTGGTTTTTCAATGTTGTGGTTTCTGATGCCAGACTTATGTCTGTTAATTCTTTGTCGAAAGGACTGGCCTGTTTGTCCAATGTAGAGGGTGAACGGGCACTATTGACACGGCATAAATCACGTTAGACGATGAGCAGGAGTAGGAACCTGAGATAGTATGGCTGATGTTGTTGGGTCCACTAATGGTGTTGCTAGGATCTATATGAAAGCAAATGATGGTGTTGCTAGGATCTGGTGGCAAGTGAAGTACATGGCAAGTGAGGTACATGGTGTTATGGGTACATTCTGTTTCCTGTTATGGAGGAGGAGAGGAAGGGAGCTGCAGTGGGTTGATGGAGAGGTGGTATTTGAGGGCTCCCATACCTGTTGTTGTTTTTTTATTTATGATTATTTAATGCCTAATGAGAGCCAGGTTGGTGTAGTGGTTAAGAGCACGGATTCTAATGTGAGAGAACCGGGTTTGATTCCCCACTCCCCCACATGCAGCTGCTGGAATGACCTTGGGTCAGTCACAAGTTCTCTCGGAGCTGTTCTCTCAAGAGCAGTCCTCGAAAGAGCTCTCTCAGCCCCACCTGCCTCACAAGGTGTCTGCTGTCGGGAGGGGAAGGGAAAGGAGATTGAAGCTGCTCTGAGACTCTTTCGGGTAGTGAAGGGGGGGCATAAATCCAATCTCTTCCTGTTCTTCTTCATCCTTAAGGTTGTAGTGGTTCATCCTGGTTGTAGTGATTTCATAACTTTTCCCTCTCTCTTTTCTTACAGAGTTGGAGTCCTGGAAGACACTTTCACCTGTCTTGGTGTCCTTTGCGCTATCGTCTTTTTCCCTATCGGAATTCTTTTCTGCCTTGCATTGAGGCAACGGAGATGTCCCAACTGCGGGGCGACGTTTGGTTAAGGGATCCACCGATAACACGAACGCACAGAGGCTTTTCGGGAGCCGTACCTGTATTGTAGAACCTTCCCCCCCCCAATGTAAATGTCATGTACAATCACGTTGATGCTTCAGAGCTGATTTTGTATAAGTGTTATGAAGTGAAATCTCTTGCATGCAAAACTGTTTCCAGGGGCATGTCGAACGCGGGACGCAAACCCTGCCTGGCTTCTTGTTTAAATGCACCTTTTCAGAAAATTTAAATAAAAATGTCTCTTTTTTGCATCTTCACAATAACCAGACACTCCTTGAGGGAAAATATTCTGTCTTGGCAATGCTATGGCTGTGTTACTCTCCTCCCCGGGGGGGGGGGAGGGCTATTGAACTGTGAGTATATGGCAGGGTTCCCAACCTCCAGGGGTCCAGGTGGCACCTGGAGAACTGAGTTGATCTCCAGATGACCAAGATCAGTTCCCCTGGAGAAAATGGCTGCTTTGAAAGGTAGCCTTTATGGCATTCTACCCTGCTGAGGTTTCTGTCCTCCCCCAAACCCTCCCCTCCCTGGACTCCACCCCTAAAATCTCCAGATATTCCCCAGCTTGGAGCTGGGAACCCTAATTCTACGGCATTCTACCCTTCTGAGGTCCCTCCCCTCCTCAAACCCCACCCTCCCCAGGCTCCATCCCCCAAATCTCCAGGTTTTCTCAAACCAGAGCTGGCAACCCTAATTTATAGTATAAATAATTTCCCCCTGCCTACCCTGTTCCACCTTTTCCCTATCAAAATGAGAGAATTGTGAGTCACTTTTGGGTCCTGTCGCACAGCTTTGAGAACCACTGGTGTAAGTTAAAAGTCTTTTTGATTGTGACCTCATGATTTCATTTTTCCATAAAAAGATCACTGCATCACAAGGTTTGTGCCAGTGCAGTGATTATTGGTGCTGGGAATAACATGCTGAGATCCCTAACTCACTGGATACTCCTTGACCAACTCGTTTATTTTCTAGCCGTAATTCCTCATCTTTAAAAATGGGAACTACAGATGGCTGCTGTGAGGGTGAATGAAATAAGAATCAGGAGGCATTTCAAATGCTTAATAAAATATGAGGTTTTGTTGGAGGATTGCTGTACAACATCCTTTGTCTTTTTGACATAGTAAAATTAGCTCCCACAGGAAATGACCCCTGGGTTTTTCCGTGTTGTAGGAGCCCCAAGGAGCAAACATTTCCATGCCTAAAGAGCAAGGGTGTGAGCATATTCCCCACTTTATCCTAGAGTCAGGGGTCTCTGCTCTATGCAGCTGTTTTCGTTGCCCTAAAGACTTTCTACCCTTCTGAGGTCCCTCCCCAAACCCAGCCAGCCCCGACCCCACACCCAAAATCTCCAGATATTTCCCCACCCAGAACTGGCAACCCTAGTCTGTGGGCCGACGAAAACATTCAGGGCCGTTCCCCTATATTTTAGCCAGCCACCAAACCTTAAAATTCTCCTCTCCCAAAAAAGCGGAGTGTGCAAAATACTAGAACTCGAGCGCATCCAATGAAGCTCATGGACAGTACGTTCAGGACATACAAAAGGAAACACTTCTTTACACAGAGAGTGATTTGAATCGAAATTTGCTGCCAGAGGATTTAGTGAAGGCCATGGGAATCAATAGCTTTAAATAAGGATTAGATAGATACATGGAGGATGAGTCTCTCAAAGGCTACTAGCCATTAGGAGTGTGCATTCGGCAAGCCAGCTGGGGAAGCGAAGGGGAGGCATTTAAAGATAACAGAGAGTCCTCCATCTTTCTGTGTTATACCTCTGAGGATGCCATTCACAGCTGCGGGCAAAACGTCAGGCACTACAATGCCAAGACCACAGCCGTGCAACCCAGAAAATCTACAACTAATTTTCAGCAATGCCAAATATTTCCCAAATCCCAGTATAATAGTGATACTGGGATTTGGGAATATCGGCATTTACCGAAATTTTCCGGGTTTGGCTTACCCGAACCTAAGATACCAATTTCTTTTCCCATGCACACCCCTACTAGCCATGGTGACTGAGGGGAACCTCCACATTCAGAGGCACTAAATATCTGAGTCCCAGAGCCAGGAGGCAGCATCAGGGGAAGGCCTTGGCCTCCATGCCCTGTTGTTGGCCCTCCAGAGGAACTGGTTGGCTACTGTGTGAGACAGGATGCTGGACTAGATGGACCCTCACTGGTCTGATCCAGCAGGGCTTTTCTTAAGTTCGCCTGCACCCAGGGCAAAACCAAGCATATTCAAACATTATAGCAAATAGGGCTCATAAACATACGAAGTGGTCCTGAAGCGGAGATCACCTCTTCCAAAGAGCTTCCCATAAATGCAAAGAAACTTCAAAAGGGGCAAGATGGAACACCCTGTGTCAACTCTGTAGATCCACTGAAAATCAAAGGACAGTTTACACGGTGTGCCCATACAGTTGTACTGCAAATCCTTAACAAAACTGCTGTGTGTCCCGTTGGGGAAAAAACAAAACAGGAAGAGGCCAAGAATGCTTTTCCACTCACTAGGTGGTGAAGTCTTTGTGCTTTCAAGGAGGAACGCAACACTTATTTCAGTGTATTTCAAAATACAGGTACGTATTAAAGGGGTATTCAATATGTCTTGAAGCAATCCAGACTGGCCTCATCTTTTCACAGCTCAGAAGCTAAGCAGGGTAAGTACTTGGGTGGGAGACCGCCAAGGAACCTGAGGGGTTGCTGTGCAGAGGCAGGCAATGGCAAACCGCCTCTGGTCCTCTCTTGTTTTGACAACTCCATTGAGTCGATTGTGACTCAACGGCACAGTTAACCTTTACTGAAGGGGTACAGATATGTTTGGCCAAGAGTAAGCGTCTGTTCGTTTGATCACTTGTCTCCAAAAAAACCCCCAATTCGCTGGCTGTAGCTAGGAATTGCACTCTAGTTATGAGCAGAAGGCCTTCAGCAACCACTGGGATTGAACAAATGAAGCTGCCTTATACTGAATCAGACCCTTCATCCGTCAGAGTCAGTAGTGTCTACTCAGACCGGCAGCCGCTCTCCAGGGTCTCAGGCGGAGGTCTTTCACATCACCTCCAGCCAGATCTTTTAACGAGATGCCGGGGACTGAACCTGGGACCTTCCGCATGCCACTGAGCCACAGCTCCCCCCGAACAGATTCTCCTTTTACATCTTGACACGTGGTTCATTTTGCTTGTGACCCATTTCGCTGGCAATTCGCTTCTCAGTTGCTGCAAGTCATAGGTGCCCTTTAGGACTGAAATATACTTCAAGCCTAGGACTGTTAGGTTCGAATCCAGTGGCATCTTAGAGACCAACAAGGTTTTCCGGGCTTTTGAGAGTTGAAGAACCCTTCATCAGACTGACAGAGGGAGCTTTGACTCTTGAAAATCCGTACCTTGAAAATCGTGCAGTTCTCTGAAGTTCTCCTGGTCTCGAATCGAGCTGTTCTACTGCAGACCGACACGGCTTCCCCTCTGAAACCGTCTTCATGCAGAGGAATATTTCTTCCACAACCTGAAGATTCTTGGTCACTTGTGTCTACACAGGAGGGATGATCTCCAGCTCAGACGTTCAGAGAAGACTGCTGTTTTCCAAACATCCTGATTTTCAGAACTCTGTCTTGCCTGCAGTGACTCAGTCAGTCAAATGTTTAATACGGTCAAAGACCCATAAATAGCCACCAAAGCCATTAAAACAAACAGGATATACAATTCAGCCCAACACCCCTTTTAAAACCTTAAGCATAAAATGAAATGAGGCATTTCCATCTAAAAATCATTGACGCTATCTTATGGCCTTCACAGCGAATGTTGCTACCTTTAAAGTAATTTCTTGATTCATGCTGGCTAAAAGCTTGTCTAAATAAGATCTAATGTTTCTCCCCGGGAATTGAATGCAAACTGGCACTAAGTAGAGTGAACGAAAATTCTGCCGGTTCACTGTCCCGTTTCCTTGTTCTGCAAATTTACTATCACTCCCGCTCCTTTCCCGATTCTGTCACAAGCTGCAGTATATTCCTTGCCCACAGTGACTGTAGAAGTGTATCTGACGAAGGGAGCTTTGACTGTCAAAAGTTCATACTCCCCAAAATCTTGCTGGTCTCTGAGGTGCCGCTGGACTTGAACCTGGCTGTAGAAATGCAGTATACAGAAGACTGTATAGTAGGGTTGCCAGGTCTACGTGGCTGTTGGTGGGGGGACTCCCGATCCTTCCTGTAGTTCTTCTGGCATGCGGGATGATGTCACAAGGGAGTGACGTCGTTGCATTTCCGACATTATGGGGTGACTCTCCAGGTTTTGGGCAAAACTCTGGGTTTTGGGGCCTCAAAACCATAGTTTTGCTCAAAACCTAGAATGTCACCCCTGATATTGGAAACATGATGACGTCACTCCCGGTGAGGGAATCAGGGGATCCCCTGGCCCCACTGAGGGAATGGCAACCCTACTGTATAGAGCCAGGGTGACCTTACAAGCCAAGAAAGGAGATACAGCAATGCTTATCTGAGGAACTTTCAGGCCGAAGTCAAGGATGTTCACTTGACATAATAGCTTTATTTAAAAATCCCCCCTCTCACCCTGTACTGTGTTAATCCACAACAGCACACCTTCCAGACAATCTCTCCTTCCTTTCCAGTTGTTGTTGTTGTTCAGTCGCACAGTCGAGTCCGACTCTTCGTGACCCCATGGACCAGATCACGCCAGGCCTTCTGGTCTTCTGCTGTCCTTGCCAGGCCTGCTGTTAATTATGATTATCTTTTCAGAGAACTTTTCAAGCTTCGAATAAGAATCAGCCATGTCTTTAATCTTGCGTTAGAACCAAGGTCAATGCCAGAGGAAACATTGCTGATTTCCTTCCCACAATTCGTGAGATGTAGGCAGGGTCTCTCTGTAGGGTCAGCTTCTAGAGAGAGAGAGCAGTATGCAGCCTTCGGAACTGCAAAGCGCCATTCTGTAGTTATGGAGTATGAACACAGGCAGAGGGATGCAGCCATATAAGGGCATTCAATAAACACCTGTGAAGTTGCCTTAGTCTGCATCAGACCCTTGCTCCACCAAGGTCAGAGTTACCTTCTGGCAGCCACTCCCCAGGGTCTCAGGTGGTGGTCTTCCACATCATCTACCTCCTAGTCCTTTCACCTGGAGATGCCGGGGACTGAACCTGGGGCTTTCTGCATGCCAAGCAGAGGCTCTTCCACTGAGCCACAGCCCCTCTTTACAGCTCTCCAGGGTCTCAGGCGGAGGTCTTTCCCATCACCTACTGCCTGGTTGTGTTTAACTGGAGATGCCATGGATTGAACCTGGGACCTCCTGCATCCCAAGCAGAGGCTCTTCCACTGAGCCACAGCCCCTCTTTACAGCTCTGCAGGGTCTCAGGCTGAGGTCTTTCCCATCACCTCCTGCCTGGTCCTTTTTAACTGGAGATGCCGGGGATTGAACCTGGGACCTTCTGCATCCCAAGCAGAGGCTCTTCCACTGAGCCATGCCCCCTCCCCTAACACAATATTGCATTCTTCACGGTGATTTTTCTCCTTTACGCAGGTGGTTGCATTCTAGCATTTATTTTCGCACATTTATTTATATCCCAGTTTTTCTCCCCACAGCTGAGTTGCAAAGCAGCTCAGAACGTTGTTCTCCTCTCCTCCATTTTCTCACAACAGCCCTGTGAGGTAGGGCAGGCTGAGAGTTTGAGATGGGACCAAGGTCGCGCAGTGAGCTTCCAGGGCTGAGGCAGGGATTCAAACCCAGGTTGCCCGGGGTCCTAGTCCATCGCTTACGGTTGCCAGGTCCCGTCTGGCCACTGGTGCGGGATGGGGGAGCAGGGTTGACAGATCCAGGTTGGGAAACGCCTGGAGATTTGGGGATGGAGCCTGGGGAGGACAGGGACCTTGGTGGGGTACCATGCCACAGGGTCCACCCTCCAAAACAATACCCATTTTCTCCTGGGGAACCGATCTCTGTAGTCTGGAGGTGAGCTGTAATTCTGGGGGATCCCCGGGTCCCACCTGGAGGGTGGCATCCCTGCTGCCCTCTAGCAACTATTTTATTTATTTATTCATTCAATTTATACCCCGCCCGATCCCACAAGTGGACAACTACACCACATTGACTCTCAGAAGACAGTTTTGGAAGAATATTGTACGGCTGTGAATATTCGGAAGATAAATATTTTATTCTTATTGCATCCTAAGACCTCTGTACCGATGGCTAACAGGTGTAACGACTTAACCGGATATGAAATGCTATTATTTTACACAGCATTCTATTGCTGAATCATTAAGGCAATCCTTAGCTGGCTTCTCCGTTTAAGAAAAATAATAATAATCAGGTTAAGCAGAGTCACACGTCTAAGTAAACAGGACGAGCCGACTCAAGTAATTAGACCTTACCCATAGAATTAACCGTATGACAGGCACACAGGAATATTTTTTTTCTCCCAAGGATTAATTGTGGTGGTAATGACGGTTACTGAAGCTTCCCCGTATTCTCGCGATTCTATCTTCCTCCCCAAGGTACGCCGTAAAAAAAGCTTAACCCAAGGCAATTTTTAGCGGATATAAGGAAGCAAAAAAAATAATAAATTGTTTTTTTTGCAAGTCTGAACAGTCGGTTGCAACTTTTTTTTTTTGCTAACCATACATGGTAATTACACTTAAATAATGTTTTTTAAAAAAACTTTTAAAGACAGGCTCTGAAAAATCATATTGCTGAAAATGGCATTCGCAAAGGTGGGTGGGTGGAGGTAAAAAACAATTAGTGTCATGTTGCTCATCGAAGAATTGGTGCCGATCGATCGTTTGTTACTGTTGGTCGGAGTTTCACGGTGGCAAAGGGATTTTCTCCGCTGCAATAAAGGACAGCAATTACGACGTGACTTGGTGTGAAGATGCCAGCAGCAACGCTATGATTATTATTATTATTTGAATTATGCAGTCAGCATTAGTAAATACTTTGCATGGCCTCGGCAAAGCCCTTCGTTATCACGGAGGGCCAGGGTGAATGTTGAAAGGCTCACGTTCCCCCGGAAGGCCATAAAGTCTGCTTGAATACGGTATCATCTCATGAGCAATGCTCCCCTCTAAGCTGTGGAGTCTTGTGAGCAAAAATTCTCCTTTGTGAGCTACTGGCGTTAAAGTTGTGAGCGAGTGATTTGGCTACTGCATCGATTAGTTTGCTCCGGAGCCCTCCTTCCTGAGCTATGACAAAAACCTGTGAGGCGGAGGCTAAAAAACTGTGAGCTAGCTCACACTAACTTGACTTAGAGGGAACACTGCTCATGAGCCTTTCAGAGAATCCAGTTTTAATGGGCATTGCCAGCCTTAAATGCTTGAGCACCGAGTCTGAAGCCTGGGGAAAAAACTTTCCAACTAGCTTGAGAGAGATTCTTACACACTGCAAGTAAAACAGATGACCTAATCTTTACATTTCTAACATGCTCCTTTTTGGGTAAATGCTCATTTGAAGCATCAAAAGCAAAATTGCACAGTACTACATAATGGCATTTTCTCATAGGTCAAAGGGTTGAATGGAGGGATTGTTTATATAGAACGAGGGAGCAACCTTCCTGGATCCCAGCGCATTGCATTTAATGTACCCCAGGTGCTGTGTGCTTAGTTTTTCCCAATCATGTCTCAGCATTCCCCCTCCCCCCACCCACCGCAAAATTCTTAGTGGTTTACATAAAAGCCAGGGCAAAATTATGATGTCTCACTACTGAGAATCTAGCCGTGTGTGTGTGTGGTGGGTGAAACTGACTGATTGGTTGCACTGTGAACTATTCCGCTTTGCTGTGTATTGTATTGTCAGTCCCTCGGTTCCAACAACAAATCTGGCCGCCTCGACCGGGGGTCCCCAACGTGGCGCCCAAGGGCACCATGCCACCTGCTGACACCTTTCTTGGCAACTGCCAAGTGTTCTTAGAAAGTGGGCGGGGTCAGGTGGGTTTTTTGCTCAGCAGGGCTTCTGATTGGGCATGCAGGTTTTTGAAGAGACTGCTTTGGCAGCAGCTGCCACCACAGCTCAAGGATCTTCCCTGTGTGAAGGTATACCGAGGCCACCACTTTGTGGCTGGCTCCGCCTCCTGCAGCATTTCTTTTGAGGCAGTCGTTTTGTGGCTGCGCCGACCGCACCGTGTCAGAATCCCAAAGGTGCCCGCAGGCCCATCCACGGCCTGGTTCGTTCCAATCCGCTTCCAGAAATGTCAGAAAGGGGTCATTTCAATGACGCCTGAGAGCCAATGGGGATTAAAAAAAAATTAAAATGGCCATCTCCCACCACCCCTCCACTTGCCAGCCAGTTCATATTTGTCAACAATGTCGGGAAATTGAAGAGCCTACCTTAGGAAAGGTGGTTTTACAATCCCATTCATGTCAGGCTTCTGGGGGGAAATGAAAAGAAAGAAAAGCCATGATTATCCACTTTAGTACAATAAGCTGGTAGCAGTTCTGTGAGACTCACACAGTATACCAATATCTGCAAGGATAATTTCCTACCGAAGGGTACGCATCCTCCCTGCTGCTACCATTTCTATATGAACGCTAGTAGGAATTACACTAGGCAAAGAAGATGGGAAGGGCTAGGGGTTAGAGCAGAGGTTCCCAAAATTATTTGGCCTACCGCCCCCCTTTTCAGAAAAAAAATTTACTCCACGCCAGTGTTCCCTCTAAGCTGAGTTAGTGTGAGCTCGCTCACAGTTTTTTAGCCCCCAACTCACACATTTTTGTCTTAGCTCAGGAAGGAGGGCTCCAGAGCAAACTAATTTATGCAGTAGACAAATCGCTTGCTCACAATGTTCCCTCTAAGCTGTGGAGTCTTGTAAGCAAAAATTCTACTTTGTGAGCTACCGGCATTAAAGTTGTGAGTGAGCCATTTGGCTCCTGCATAAATTAGTTCACTCTGGAGCCACTGCTCACAACTCTAATGCCCATTGCTCACAAAGTATAATTTTTGCTCACAAGACTCCACAGCTTAGAGGGAGCATTGCTCAGCACTCCCCTGGAAATCTACCTTCAGGAAGTGGACAAAAAGATGCAGTTTGTGGATGTGCACCTGGATCATTTCAGCCCACCTGGATCGTTCCAGCGCCCACTTTGGGATCCAGTGGGTTAGAGGACGGAGTCTATATTAGGGATTCCAGGCTCCAGGTAGGACCTGGGGATCCCCTGGAATTCTAGCTCATCTCCAGACTAGAGATTAGTTCCCCTGGAGAAAATGGTGGCTTTGGCCTATGGCATCGTACCCCACTGAGGAGGTCCCTGTCCTCCCCAGGCTCCATCCCCAAATCTCCAGGAGTTTCCCAGCCTGGATCTGGCAAGCCCTACCCTGGCCCCCCATCCCCCGCCAATGGCCAGGGGCAGCCTGACAACCCTCGTCAGAGTGGGCTGTGCCAGGCCTCTGTAAAAATCTCTCACCCACAGGTCTTGTTTAAAACCACAACGCTTGCGGAAAGGTTTGTTTAGTAGTGGTTGGAGCCTGGAAACCTTTTTTAAAGAAGACTCCCCCCCCCAGCCATAGTTACAGCTATGCAAAACAGAACGGTGGATGGATACAGATTAATTAGCCTTCTGTTCCGCCAGGTCACGTTTCCCACTATATGATGGAAATGCAAACAGTCCTTCAAAGAGCAAGTTATCTTTTCGCCCTGCCAAATTCATGCTTAGCCTTTGCCCCCCCCCAGCTAACTGCAGCAACTCTCCATGCCCAGGAGGTGGCACTGTAAGGCCACAAATGTATATATTTCCCCTCCACTGCAGGAATAGTGAAGGAGCGACTGGCTTTTCGTATCTTCTCCTGTACCCACAAACACACAAAAGTGTGGATTTCATTTTATTACTCTCTATAGTGTGAAAACGAGACTACATCAACTGTGTATAAAAATCAGCACTGTAGGATTTATTGGAAGTACAGTAGCTTGTTATTTCCAGTGCAGGAAAAACTGAGTCGAAGGCAATTTGATGGCACAGAAACCACACATATAAACCAAGAGAATCTAACCACATGGGAAAAGCATCAGCTAATTGAAACAGGAATCACTGAACGTTTCATGTTGTCATACATCACAACGCTCTTTCCCCCAGCCACATAACCACGGAAATGTCTTTGAACCCGGGACCTTCCGGGACCTTCCGCATGCTGAGCAGAGGCTCTCCCGCTGAGCCATGGCCCCTCCCCTTCAAGAACTGCCATGTGGGCCAGATTCTGTGCCAAACTCATAAAGCTACAGAGCCTACCAAGCAACGAACCAATGGCTTTTGAGTCAGTCCTGTTTCCCTGGTGACTGAATTCCAGCTCTGGGGATCTTTCACATGGACACAAGCTTGCGCAAAGAACAAGGGCAGGTGTCTCCTGTTATGTATTCAGATGGATTGTTATCAAGGTTTGTTTAGTAGTGGTTGGAGCCTGGAAACCTTTTTAAAAGAAGAACCCCCCCCCAGCCATAGTTACAGCTATGCAAAACAGAACGGTGGATAGATACAGATTAATTAGCCTTCTGTTCCGCCAGGTCACTTTTTCCACTATATGATGGAAATGCAAAACATTCCTTCAAAGAGCAAGTTATCTTTTTGCCCTGCCAAATTCATGCTTCACCTTTGCCCCCCCAGCTAACTGCAGCAACTCTCCATGCCCAGGAGGTGGCACTGTAAGGCCACAAATGTATATATTTCCCCTCCACTGCAGGAGTAGTGAAGGAGCGACTGTGGCTTTTCGTATCTTCTCCTGTACCCACAAACACACAAAAGTGTGGATTTCATTTTATTACTCTCTATAGTGTGTAAACGAGACTACATCAACTGTGTATAAAAATCAGCACTGTAGGATTTATTGCAAGTACAGTAGCTTGTTATTTCCAGTGCAGGAAAAACTGAGTCGAAGGCAATTTGATGGCACAGAAACCACACATATAAACCAAGAGAATCTAACCACATGGGAAAAGCATCAGCTTATTGAAACAGGAATCACTGAACGTTTCGTGTTGTCATACATCACAACGCTCTTTCCCCCAGCCACATAACCACGGAAATGTCTTTGAACCCGGGACCTTCTGCATGCCGAGCAGAGGCTCTCCCGCTGAGCCATGGCCCCTCCCCGTCAAGAACTGCCATGTGGGCCCGATTCTGTGCCAAACTCATAAAGCTACAGAGCCTACCAAGCAACGAACCAATGGCTTTTGAGTCAGTCCGTCCTGTTTCCCTGGTGACTGAATTTCAGCTCTGGGGATCTTTCACATGGACACAAGCTTGCGCAAAAAACAAGGGCAGGTGTCTCCAACCTTTCTGAGCCTGTGGGCACCTTTGTAATTCTGACACAGCGTGGTGGGCGCAGCCACAACAATGAGGTGGAGCCAGCCACAAAAATGGCTGCCGCAGCTCACCTTCAATCACACGGTAAAAAGCCTTGCACTGTGGGAGCAGCTCACTGTCCGAGCAACGTTTTAAAAAAATCTATAGTAAAGGTAAAGTTTTTTCCCTTGCTCGAAAGCCAGTTGAATCTGACTCTAGGGTTGCGGTGCTCATCTCCGTTTCCAAGCCGAAGAGCCAGTGCTGTCCGAAGACGTTTCTGTGGTCATGTGGCCGGTATGACTAGACGCCGAGGCGCACGGAACACTGTTACCTTCCCACTGAAGCGGTACCTATTTACTTGCAGTTTCTTGCTTTCAAACTGCAAGGTGGGCAGGAGCTGGGACCAGAGACGGGAGCTCACTCTGTCAGGAGGCACTCGGGTCTCGAACTGCTGAACTACCGACCTTCCGGTCTGCAGTTCAGCGTCAACCTCTGAGCCAATTAAATCTCCAGTGGCCAATCAGAAACTTTGCTGGGTGAAAGCCTCACCTGGCCCTGCCCACTTTCTAAAAACACTTGGTAGCCACCAGGAAAGGTGTCTGCGGGTGCCATGTAGCCCATGGGCACCTTGTTGGGGACCCCTGAACTAGAGTCTTTCTGACACCCATTCGCACTCACTTTCTTTCCGTCTTGCCTGATGAACAACTTTGTGCAATGTGAAAACTTGCAGACTTTCTGGCCCATATATGCACACAGAGAGATACAGTTTCAGAATTCAGGACTCCGTGAGCGTCCTGCTTTGTAGAGACAATCTCCCGCCCCACCAGCATCATAGTTCTAAAGTCGGCCCATTTTGGTTAAAACTGTCACCATTTTTTAACTCTCAAGACAGCTGGCTCCTGTTTCCGGACGATTATAAATCCTCTGTCCTCACAAGGGCGGCAAGTGCCCAGTCCATGCCCAAGTTAACGACAACAGAAGTTGGGGTGACTTTCGTAACGAGGCGCCAGTCAGAGCTACCTAAAACCGTTCTCTAAACCTAGAACTCAATTCTCTGGAATTGAGCAGGATAAATTAAACTGGATGAAATACAGTCTTCATGACGTTCAAGTGGCGCTCTGCACCACAAAGAACTTCTTGTGCCTGCTTTGCTCAGCACCTTCCGGCCAGGGTCGTAAATCCTGAAAACGATTACTTCCACAATTATGGTCAAAGGGACATGTTGGTCTAATAGGTCGCACCAGTTGGCCGCAGACTAAATGGATCAATATATAATTCTGACGCTATACAAGGGGTTAGGGCCCATTTGGGTTTTTTTGGGTTTTTAAAAAACTGAATCCACAAAGCAGAGGAAAATATAGCTGCCGATGACAACGTGATTGTTTTGAAAATGGCTTGGTGCCACAAACCTAGAACATAAAAGCTTTCTTCTAGGAAATAATGCTGTCATAAACCTTTTAAAAACCGTAGCCTTTTGTCGTGGGAAACCTACAACAGCTCGGAATAAGGTTATCACTGTGATAATGTCACCCAATATTTTAAGCCCGGCTGAGATACACATGTGGCAACTGACTCTGCATGGTGGAGTCACTGGAATGCACCCCTTCTCTTGACCGTGCATGTGCCACAGTACGTGAGGTGGGCATTCGTAGCAAAGCTACGATACGCAACCTCAACAAAGGGGTGTGTGTGTGTATATGTGTGGTGAGACTGCACAGAATCAGGGCATTGTGTAGAACACCTGTGTACTCTAGTTGCACATCATACACATATATATGGGGGCAGGGGGGGGAGACTGTGGAAGGGAGAGGCACCCGCCGGCTTCTGCACTGGGTGAGAACTCCTGTTGCCCAGTAAAATGCCTGTGCTCAGCTACAGTCTCATTAGGCAGAGGACACGATTGTACCGTTCGGGGAAGTCTGAACGACAGAGGGGGTTCTTCCTTCTGAGGGCCAGCCTTCACCCCGTTTTAATTTGGCAGGAGGTGAAGTAGCAGAAACCTTTACTGGAACTTGTCATTGCTGCTAGAACTGCAGAGGATGATAGCAGAAGGGAGGCTGAGTCAACCACTGTTACCTTCTTCTTCCAAAGCCCTTTGCTGTGAATGTGCCCTGTCACCCCAGCTATATGACTGACTCTGATCTTTAAAAAAAAAACAGCCTCAACATCTTTAGGCAACTTCATCAGTCAAAAATGTGCATTTTTTTAAAAATGAAGAACTACTTTTGTGGAGCAAATATAGAAGTCTACAGGCGCTGCCCTTTCACAGGCCCAAATGTAAGAGGCTTGTCATGTTAATAAGATTTTCATATGATGATACCTGGAACCCTTAAGGTCTTCCGAGTTTGCGTCAATATTTATCAGTCTTAAAAAAACTGAGCAGACTTTAAAAAACAAACAAACTCCTCTCCTTCTGGACTCCATGTTCTCTTGAACAAGTTCCCCCTGAAATCAATGGGAACACCCCCAGAACACGACAGTGGTCTTGCACAGATCCCTTTCCGTGGAGAACTTCCAGGCGGATCGTGCCCTACAGGAGGTATTAAATGAGGCTTGTCATGTTAATAAGATTTTCATATGATGATACCTGGAACCCTTAAGGTCTTCCGAGTTTGTGTCAATAGTTATCAGTCTTAAAAAAAACTGAGCAGATGTTTTTTAAAAAAACAAACCCCTCTCCTTCTGGACTTCGTGTTCTCTTGAGCAAGTTCCCCCTGAAATCAATGGGAACACCCCCAGAACACGACAGTGGTCTTGCACAGATCCCTTTCTGTGGAGAACTTCCAGGCGGATCGTGCCCTACAGGAGGTATTAAATGGTTCAAGGGTCAGGTTGCCAAACTCTGGGTGAATCTAGTAACAAATAAATATACACTGCAAAAAGTCATTCTCAAAGCTGCATAGTATTGACTCTGGGTGAAGCCTGGGGATCTTGCAGAATTACAACTGATCTCCAGACATCAGAGATTGGCTCTCCATGGATAAAAAAGGTCCTCTCCCTAGTCCTTCCTCCACCAGAAGCAGGGGTCGACACTGGGTCCTGGGCTGGGTCACCTGCTGCCAGCCCAGAGAAAGGCAGACAATGTCCCTTTCAAACAGAAGCTCTAGCCCAGAAACAGTGTTTGCCTCTTGTAAAACTCGCAGGTAGATTTCCCGGCTCAGAAGCAGAACGAGGTACAAGATAGGTCTAACTTCATTACAGTGTGTTTTGGAAAACCCCTTGGAACTATACTTCTAATGAATCATTGTCTTTTATTCTCAAATAGTGATCTGGGACAATAGAGTCTTGAACGTGTACAATATTGTTAGGAAACCCCCTTGAATTCACGCTCCGAAGCCTTTCGTTACAGAAATTGTGGCCTCCTTAACGCATTTTTTATCATATTTTTAATCGTTAACTATAAAACGTCCATACTGCCATGGAACACCTATGAGAAGCTTCAGGCTTTGGGGCTTTAGTTTTGGGACTTTTTGAGAGGTGTTTATTTAGCATGATTTTACCGGTGAGATTTTACCGGCTAGACCAGTTAACAGTGTGCATTCTGCTTATCTAGTCCATTCTGCAGTAGAAACACCTGACACCTGGAATGCTAATTAAAGTCCCCGTTGTAACTAAATATTTAATTCTGTCCTTCTATGTTCTCTGTTTAATTCAGGTGCGGCAACAAATCGAGAACTCTGTTGGGCAATGTCACAGAAGACTGTGCATCAGAAAATGAACAGAATGCTTTACTGTGGAATTAGACTCTATTAAAACCCACAAGTAGTTTAAGGACGCGTATACAGCTGATAGACTTTTGCTTCAAAGAAACTTTTAGGAAAAGTGTTTGAAACCATTAAAGAGGGCCAGAGTACCTGCTTGGCCAATGTGTGAGGGAGGATGCTGGACTAGATGGACCACTGGTCTGATACAGCAGGGCTCTTCTCAGGGGTCATTTCCTGCAGGAGCGTACAGGAGCGGAGCTCCGGCAGTAAAGAGCCCAGGGGGTGGGCACATGCAACAAGCCCCACCCCCTGCTCCCAGCAGCCCTCAGTCAGAGCAAGAAGCAGCCAGGTAAGTTGCAGCGCTCCCCCCGGCTGCCTGGTCCAAAGCAGTCCAGTGGCATCTTCAAGACCAAGTTTTATTCAGGTACAAGCTCTCCCTCCTTTGTGAGGACAGATCTGCACGTTCCCCCCCCCCGCCAAATAGCTAACAATCCAAAACAGTCCAGTGGGGCCTGAGGGGGGGGGGTGGCCT